ATTTAAATTATGTGAACTAAAATAAAATAAAAAACGAAATATGTACAAGAAATCTTATATACTTCGTACTAAAAAAACTAAAACTCATAAATAAATATATAAAGTAAGCTAAAAATGCTTTGAAACTATTACAAATATGAAAAATTGTTAGAAACTGATAATAAAAGAGTAAACTTTACTAAAACTCACAAACTAAAAAATATAAACTAAAAACGTATAAATTGTATACATTTAAATATAAAAAAACAGAAGAGAAAAAAGTTTAAAATTTTTAAAACACCAAAAAAAATAAGATTAAATTCTAAATATTCTAGTAAAAGAAAATAAATACATAAAATACATAATAAAAAAATATAAAACTAAGAAAATAATAAAATTAAGAAAACACACAAATAATATAAATTTTCAGAAATTTTAAAAAAATATAGACAGTTTAAGGTAATGTCAAAAACTAATAAACAAACATTTTCTAAATTAAAAATGTGAAATTTTGTACAAATAAAATACCAAAAGTTTGTAAAAACTAAACAAGTATTAAAGAATATGAATTTTGTTTTTTTTAAATAGTAAAAAAGTATTATTATTAATTTTTTGTAACATATTGTTTCTTTGTGTTTCTTTTTGTTAATAACTTTTTTTGTTTCTTCATGTTTCTTCTTGTTGCTGATAATTATAAATCCAAATTTATTATTTTAGGTGTTTCTATATATAGTTATATATTTATTCCAAAGAAGTAACAAAGATAAATGTAAAACCAAATAGACAATAAAAAACAGTGTCAACAAAAATAACAATTAACAATATGATATAACAAAAAATAATACGATGCAACAAAAGTCAACACAATGCAACAAAAAGTAACATGATGCAACAAAAAGCAACATGTATGATGCAACAAAAGGAAAAAAAAAATAATGTATATGAGTATCACAACAAATATATAGTTCAAGCTATTATTTGAAGTTATTACATATCTGTTAGACTATTCTATTATTTGGCTTTGTTCCTATCATTCTTTCATCTTTATATGTATCTCGATCAACACACGGTTCATCAAATTTAATTAAGTCTTGTATTCATTCTCCTCGATGAAACTTTCAATCATCATCATCATCATCTTCATGTACTTTTTTCATTTATACACCTGCAATGAGAATACAATCACTATGACACAATTCCATAGTCGATTATTACAAGGAACCGTATAAAACAACCAAATAAGTAAAAAAGACTTTTTTATATGAACCCCACAGTTTTACATCAATGAAGACTTGATCAATGAACACCACAATATAACATTATTATAAAAAGTAGCACGGGGGATCATGACATAAAAATATCTGTTTATCTTATTTATACCTAAACAAGTGCATCCGGACACCACTCAAAGATAATCAAAAGAACACCCGAGATGACGTCTTTTTCAAAATAAATCCATTAGCAGTCTGAATTCAAAAACAAATTGTAAAATCATTTGCTCATATATCGTTCATAAAGCTGTATTAGAAGAAAGAACAGGACACATAGTTTTATGTACTCCCTCCGTCCCATTTATATTGTCCCGTTTTACCTTTTCGGGAAGTCCCACTTAAATTGTCTCATATCATATTTGGCAAAGTTTGTATGGCTCTAAATCATTCTTACTTTATTCTTACTTTATCAATTAATATCAACCACACAAACCCATTTTTCTTAATAACCGTGCCACTCTCTTCCGTCACAATATAAATGGGACGGAGGTAGTATCTTAGAGCACATATATGATGTATATGATTTACTTGCCTCTTTGTTTAAAAAAAATGTGACCGATTGATTGGCTCATCCATCTCAAAGAAAGCACTAGTTGTTAAGTTACTGCCTTCAAGGAGCTCCTGGCTCCACATAGAACCAAAAAATTAGACATGAAGAGAAGACAGTAGAAGGATAATATGAGATGAGAATATTGCTTTTCTTGCATACCCTCCTTATTACAATATGAAGGATTGAATAGGAATTCTAAGCTGCGAGCTACTCTTATTCTATACATCTAATGCATGCCTAACTTTGGAATGTAATAAATTTTAATTTAATAAGCTAATCATTCTCCTTATCTATATTCCAACAGTTCTGGATTTTAGTCTATTCTATCATCCTTCCAGATATACTACTATCCAAATTGCATGTGAAATGATTTTGCAAGACTTAAGATCTATTCTTAGAGATCATCAAGAATGAAAAAAGGACCATGTAATCAATTCATCAATCAATAGAGTCATATCCATGAACTAGGAGGTACCTAGATGATGAAAATTCAAGAAAAATTCAAAGAAAATGGTGAGGAACACTTTTCATACTAAACAGGGAAGTAAAACATTTCTAAAGATCAGAAGACTGGAGTTCGTTTAGTCCTCAATCCGAGTCATGACCACCAAGTTTGCTTGTGTTAATTCTGTCATCCAAGGGAACATATGCCAAGATTTTCTACAGATTTTGCAAAAAATGCTATATGAGCTTATTAAAATAGTAAGGTGTCCATTATGATTGATTAAATTCAAAGCATATCTATTGACATTTTCAGAAAATTGTGAATAGAATGATGTCTAGAAAAACATCTCAGATATAGAGGGAGTGAAAATACAAGTTACAGAGTAATAACGTTGTTGCAAGGTTAAACTGAAGCAAGGACAAAATATAAATATAATTAACCATACATTCCAGGTTTTCTGAATTTTGATAGAAAAATGAAATAAACTAATCAGAGTTAACAAAAGGTGAACTAGGAAGCAAAAGAGGAGCTCAATTGAAATGTTTCTATTGACATTTTCAGAAAATTGTGAATAGAATGATGTCTAGAAAAACATCTCAGATATAGAGGGAGTGAAAATACAAGTTACAGAGTAATAACGTTGTTGCAAGGTTAAACTGAAGCAAGGACAAAATATAAATATAATTAACCATACATTCCAGGTTTTCTGAATTTTGATAGAAAAATGAAATAAACTAATCAAAGTTAACAAAAGGTGAACTAGGAAGCAAAAGATGAGCTCAATTGACATGTTTGTGTGAATAATCACCCCCACTTGCTTCATAAATTAAACAAGGAGATTTCTAAATTCTCTAAACAAATTATCAGTCTCAGGAACACTAACTAATGCTAAAAATATCATAAAGTAGGAAGCAAAAAAGTTATAGAAACCTAATATGTAAACCTGGAGTCGCATCCCTTTGAATGCCAGAACCGTCGATCCTGAAGCCAAGCTCCGTCCTCAGTATCTGCCTGGAGCATATTCACAAAACTGGCCTCCATTAGCTGGACGATCGCAGCCCTAGACGGTGTCAGATGAAAGGTCAAACACGCGATTGAGAGCTGGATTGCACACACATGGAGTATCCTTGTCGCGATGTTGAGAACTCCATCGCTTATGCCAGTCTGCCAAATTCTGCTCCAACGGTGTGTCCCGCCGTCCCGGTTGTCCTCCAATCGCTCAGATGAGGTTCCCAATCAGAGTCACCGATTCGAAGGAAATCGCCGGTTGGGAGCTTCTTCCCTCGCCAAGTCGTCAATCTCATGCCTCTCTGTATGGAGCTTTAATGTTAATTTTGTAGAAGGGAGACAGAAACACGCGCAGATGGAGGTAGGCAAAACTTACGTAAAAGTGAAATAAAAAACCATTAATGAAAAGAGAAAAGTTAAAAATGAAAAGAAAGATCAATTGGGCCATAAATGATATTGTGCACCTAAAAAGAGACTATGCGGGTAATTTTCACTTTTATTTTTGAGTAACTTGCGCTACAAAAAACACTGAAGTAGTGTAGTTGTCACCGATACTAATCAGTGATATCATCCCTAACAAGATTTACGGATATTTGTCAAGGATCGAAAACAAAGCAAAACATATAAAATAGGATGGATGGAGTATAATCAATATATATATATATATATATATATATATATATATATATAAGAGGAACTTTTCAAGAGCATACAGAGTGCCACCTAAGTCTGCCATGTCATCATACATAACTATTATTTAATTACTTTTATTTATATACGCTTTGTATTAGTTACTAAATCTGATTTAATTAGTAAACTCATACTATATCTTATTCCGTAAATCCTTTAGTAAACTTTTAATATATACGTTTTGTATTAGTTACTAAATCTGATTTAGTAAACTTATACTATATCTTATTCCATAAATCTTTTAGTAAACTTTTAATATATGTTATTGATTTTAGTATTACGTATTTTAGCAAACTTTTTGGTATATTTATTCGGTAACTTTATATTTTATTGTGTGAGAAACTCACACTTTATTATCTATGTTGATTTTAGCAAACTTTTAGAATATATATACGTTTCCTAACTTTGGAGTAAACTTTTAAAATATTTTATGTTTCTAAATTTAGAATTAGAAACATAAAAACTACCTATAGTGCACAAATAGGCTATTATATATACAAAGAGAATGCAAACAAAAGTGTATTTTCACTATTGGCTTTCTCCTTAGTTTGAAGAATTCTATTGCTTAGTGTTCTTATATCAAGAATGTCATCACAGTAAGTTTCTACAACATTTTTAATGATATATTATTGAATACTACGTACATATGATATTTTACCATTTACATGTTTATGATACATGATATTATTATACATTATACCCGATTCATTAATATTCCATAAACTTGATTAATATTATGACAAACGTGTTTACTTTTTTGGGCTGAGCTAAACATATTACTTGTGAAAATACATACGTACTACGGAGTATATATATATTTATATAATCAAAAGTATTCTTTTTCAATGATTCCATACATGAACATGTCATAATATAAATTAAATTCCATTTTGAATTTATAAAATCGTGTGGCTGCATTTTCATCATTCGAAGGTAACAAAGAAATAGTATTATGATACAGAGTATTATGATACTTTATCATTCACATGTTTATGATACATGATATTATTATGCATTATACCTTATTGATTAATATTCCATAAAATGCAAAAGTTATTCTCTAATACGTCAGCTTGATACATCCAAGTCCGACTGGACAATCAAAGTTCGTGTTACACGCCTCTGTGATGTCATCAATCACAAAAGACAAGGAAGCTTAATTTGTCTAGAAATGGTTCTGATCGATGAAGAGGTATACTTTTTTTTTAAATTTCGAATTTTTAATGTATTAATATTTATTTTACACAAAAACCTAATGATATTTTTCATGATTGCAGGGTGATTATGTTCATGCATCTATAAAAAGTGGATATGTTCATACATTACGTCCCAAAATAAAGGAAGGAATGATACACATCATAAGAAACTTCTCAGTGCTTCCAAATAAAGAAGAGTATCGTGTTGTAGCCGATAATAAAATCATGATACAATTCTTTCATAACACTATCATCAAAGAAGTCAAAGGAGAAGCAATTGAAGTGCCAAATTATAAAATCATGTTAAATGCCTCTTCAAATATTCATAACATTTGTTTTAACTGTGCAGGAAACTTATGTTTATCAACATCCCCCTCAAGCCTGGTTTACATAGATCTTGATATTGATGAGTGCAATAAGTTGAAGACCCTTTGGAGTGCACACTTTTTGGGTGAGCCTATCAACCACCACCCATACCGCATAAAATGATATTTGCAAACAGTCAGAATCAACTACAATGATCAATTTAGTATTATTCTTAGATTATAGTGTCAATGAAAAACTTCAATTATTAATATAAATTTATTCCACTACCAATTTTAAAAAAAAACATTTAAAATTAACTAAATTACGTACTGCCCGTGCATCGCACGGGCTTGAAAACTAGTTTTATCTATTCTTGATCTTATATTTTTTTAGAGAAAATTTAAAACCAGTTTTAAAATATTCACTTTATTATTAATAATTTTTGGGTACTTCGTAATAGTTTAATTAATTAAACATGCGATTTTACTAATTGAGAGATGTTTGCCGTTTTCTAATTAAAAAGTCAAAAAAATAAAAATAAAGCACGAGTGAAAGTACAAGTAGGTACTCATTCAATAGTATATTGAATATACTCCATAGTCCATAATAGTCTGGTGAATTGCAGTTAATCCATGCCACGGAGCTTTGTAAGGGTCTGTTTGCAACAGCTTCTACTTTAAAAAAAGTGCTTTTTTTAATGAAATGGGAAGAAGTGATTAAATAAAAGTTGATAGTGTTTGAGAAAAAAGTGATTTTGAAAAGTAAAAGTTGATAGTGTTTGGTAAAATAAGTGCTTTTTGTGTAATAGAAAAAGCAAAAGCACTTTTGACACGAAAGCCGAGAAAAATAAAAGTTGTAGTGTTTGGTAAAAGAAATGCTTTTTTAAAGTCAAAAGCTGAGAAGTGCTTTTTTTAAAGTGGTTGCAAACCAACCCTAAATGCGATTTACAATCGAGGACAATTAGGGTGGCTGTATTGTACGAAAATAACGGGCTTAATTTGTCTTATACGGAGTATATACCAGTGGACAATAATCACAATACCGTAGTGATTTTGTGTTTCTCTTTTCCAGCGGACAATACTTTGTTTCTATGTTAATCGTGTACGTGATCAACATTAGATGAGCAATAAATGTAAATAAATGTAAATGTACCATGTCCGAATTCACAAACCCGACCTGTTTTTTACCCATTTTTTTTGAGCGGGAAATCAACTTGTTTTTCCACTCTCTTTTGAACAGAGATATATAGATATTAAAAAAAATTGGAGATATAACTAAAACATATTGAGTTTCTTAAAATATAAATTGTTTTGTTTTTATCTCGAAATATGGCAAAAAACGAAAAAATAAAAAATCTCGTTATATTAAAATGTGGAAGGACTTCTCTCAAAAAAATGTGGAAGGACGCAAACAGGGACGGAGCGAAGATTTAATATCAAGTCGTGTCAATTGAGCAAATTAATTTTATATAAAAATGTGTAAATATATAGAGCAAAATAGCAAACATTGTTATTTATAAAATTAATGTGCCAATCCACAATTGTCCATGTTGTGTTCTCATATTTTGAAAACGTTAGACAACTTTTTCTTTGTCAACACTTTTGAATATATCTTTTTCAATTAAAATAACACAAATTAAATGATTTTTCGTATGATATTTGATATTTCTACATTCAAATAACAATTCTAGAAAATAGAAAAAATTAACAATCGCTCAGTTATAGGGCGTGTTTGGCATTTAGCGGTTAGTGGTTAGCTAATAGCGGATTATGTTAGCGGGTTGTCAATAGCGAAATAATTTGGCGGGTTGTCAAAAAATGTTTGGTACGTAATTTAGTTGTTTGACCACAATAGTTAGTAGAAAACACCATATTTCAAAATGCTAATCCAAAACTCTTCTATTTGCAGTGTTTCCATTCCCGCGGTTCCGTAAAAATACGCTTTCACTAATTAAAAACGCTAAAAGGGATTAGACCATCATTTATTGGTCTAATCCTTTTTTAACCCTCATAAATTATACTACGGATGGCAAATGTTTAAAGACGCCATTTTTCAAACACCTCATAAATTATACTACGGATGGCAAATGTTTAATACTTTTAACCCTCAGTTTAGAAATTGACAACTCAAAAAGTGTCAAATTATAATACTCAATCAGAAAATATAAAAAACAACTTCAAAGTTCAAACTTCAATTTGGGGATACCGGATGGAGAAAAAAAAAGGATGATACCCCATCCCTGAGACCCCCCAACACCGACCGGACGACACGATAAAAGTTGTAAATTGGACTATAATCACAATATGACAGATAGAGAGTGAGACTCCGTCCCCGGTACTTGTAGAGGCCCTATGCATTTTTAGCATAGTAACCTCTCATCGCAGTTGCCGGGATTTGAACTCGGGACCTAACCCTTGTGGCACTCCCTCGCTACCAGTTGGGCTATGCACACCGGTAAAACTAAGGTATGGGTAAACTTTTTATAGTGACTAGCTCCACCGCTTTCACGGTCCATTACACCAGAAACCCAACTTTGGCTTGACCCTACCACTTGAAGGGTTTTTTGAGGAAGCATAGTTCCACTGGTGCTAGTGGGACTCAAACATGAGACCCATGGAGATTTTTTTGGGGGGGATACCGGATGGAGGATAGATGGATAGTTAAATACTCCCTCCGTCCCCGAAAGAAGTTCTCACTTTCCTTATTTGGATGTCCCTAATTTAAGTTCCCATTTCCTTAGATGAAAAGTTATCTACATCAAAACAGTGTCAAACAGTGCAAAACAGTGTCAAACAGTGTCAAATAGTGTCCAAATAGTGTCAAAAACAGTAAAATTTACCCCCTAATAAGTTTACTTACATTAAAGTGTGTGAAAGTTAAATGAGAAACTTCTTTCGGGGACGGAGGGAGTAGTTGTAATACTCTACACCGGCCACTGTTTAGCAACCAAGAGAGGCAGAGAGCAAGCTGACTCAGCAACCAAGAGAGGCGGAGAGTAGGAGCTGGAGGTGACTTTTCTCCGTCAAGCCAAACTTGCTTTTGGGGTTGACTGTTCAATTGCCTTTTTACTTAGTGGTCCAACTTTTAGAATCTAGACATTGACCCCATTTTATTAGATAGTGGTGTCAATTTTTAATTTTAGTGGTGTCAAATTATAAATTTCAAAAAAATTATATATACCTGTTGGGATAATGGCCCAGGCCGAGGTCCGGCCCATTAACCCCTTTTTTCTATCGGACGCACGTCATGCTAGGACCAGGCTGGGCGCAGGCCCATGACCCTTGGGAAGAGACGAACGTCTGGAATTGGGGGGTCCAGGTTTCAAACGGCCCATCGCGACGAACGTATGAGCAGAGGTAAGGGGCAGGACCACTGGCCATCAGGGATAACGACGAACGTCTCCTGGGCAGGCCCATGATCGTCGGAGGAGATCCAGTCCACATGGAGAGAATCCACTAAGGTCAGGGGACGAACAGCCGAAGTCTCTTGAGGGTCACTTGGAGTGACCCAGCTCACCCCCTGGCGGGCGAACGTCCCCATTATTTAGGCGGGAAGCCTAGATTCTGGCGGGAAGTGCATTTAATGCAGAAGATTTGGTGGTTGGGACACAAGCGGTCCGCAGGCCTCCACGTCAGCATAGCCACCTGCCCATTGGCGGGTATAAATAGAAGCATTTATTTCATTGTAAAGGGTTGGCAACTTTCTATTCTTAGCACTCTAGCTATAGTATTCTTACTCGCAGCACTTCTACTGCCTTGTAAGACGAACGGCCGACGGAGCCTTAGCAAAAAGTATTGTATTAGGGAGTTATTAAGAGATAATAATACCTAATCACTTACTTGCTACCTTACTGTTTCTTGACCCCTATCATCTGCTTGTTGGGCTAGTTATTCACACGCACTCCACTCGAAATCTTTGGGCTTACGTGTTGGGCCTGAAGGTTGAAGGAATAAACTTCAACACTGGCGCCGTCTGTGGGAAACTGAACTAAAAGTTTCCAAAAAACTCTCCCAAACAGCTACTAAACCTACCCACAGCAAGCACGATGACAAGAAACAACCGCCAACGCGACCTCTCCGAGCAGTTGTCCCGCGGACGAAGCAGCCGCGGGCAAACCACGGAACGCTCCGAGACGTTGGGAACGACTGGGGGTGAGGGTGGCCTCACAAACCTCATCCCCCATGAGGCCAGGCATGACCCTCGACTCATGAGGGAGCTGGCGGAAACGATGCGCCGAATGGCGGACGAACAGGAGGCGAACGAAGAGGTGCATTCAGCCAACACCATCTGGACGCCCATATCGCCTGTCCGCCGCATGCAGACCCTGGATGAAACAGCGGAATCTGCCGGGCGCCGGACACCCGTCCACATGAGGTTGGGCCAGAATCCGTCTTCCCATGGAGCTGGGGGGCACACCAGCGCCAGCACCCCCCGCTATGGTTGGCAAGATGACCACCGGGGACGCACGCCGGATGTCCCCTCCGAACAGCGGGGCACCATCATTACCCCCCGCCGCCAGTAACATTGGACGACGTTTCCAAAGACGTGGCGCCCACATCACACGAAGGCTACCCGACGCGGTTGCCCCACGAAGGAACATTGCGCTCGAGGCCGCCCCTCCTGTGTCCCCCGGAAGGGCCGCACAGGAGGCCCGGCTAGAGGCAATGGAGCGGCGATTAGCCGAGATGGATAGACGGGCGGAGGCTACCCCAGCCACGCCGCGTTTCTCCCTCACTTCACCTTTCACCCCGAGGGTCATGAATGCAGAAATTCCGCGGGACTGCAGGCCCCCCCAGGGGATAGTATACAACGGGACCGGAGACCCTAAGGCTCACCTGATCAGCTTCCAGGGGAACCTCTCTATGCTGGGGGCATCTGATGAGGCCATCTGTCGGCTCTTCTTCAGCACCCTGAGGGGTCCGGCGCAAGAATGGTTCGGGCAGCTGAGGCCCGGATCCATTGATAATTACGAACAGCTGTCCCAGCAGTTCATGGCACAATTCGCTGCCAGCACCACCCCCAAGAAGAGCTTCACATCGCTCACAGGTGTGAAGCAGGGGAAGGACGAACCTCTGGCCCAATTCCTGGTCAGGTGGAGAGATGAAGTGCTTCAGGTGGATGACCTGGACGAGCGGCTGGGAATGAACATGTTCACCAGCGCTCTAGCAACGGGAGACCTGTACCGGGACCTTCGGAGGAATCCCAGCACCAGCTATACCGAGGTGCTGGCTCGGGCACAGAAG